AAATGCCTCAGACCCTGCTGGACAAACCCTCTGAGCCCATTACCGGAGCAGCAGAGCTGGCACAGAGCTCACCAGCACCAGCCAAGGAATGGGCAGGCACAGGGAGATGCTGCAGGGTTCTGCCATCGCTGCCAGAGCTCAGCAGCACAGGGCTGTGGATGCAGAAAGGACCACATTGCTGGGGGCAGGGGACACATCAGCAATTAATCTGTATAATGTGAGTGCAGAGTTCCCCCTGAYCCCACAGTGGGGAAGGAGCCCAAAGCCATTGCTGCCAGGTCTGTCCTCTCCTCTCCTCTCCCCAAACACACTGAGTTCCTGCAGCAGGCAGTGTTTCTCACTCTTAGCTCATCCCCATGGATGGTAATGCTGTTTTCTGCTGCCTAAACAGCTCCAGGAGAGCACAGCAACATTTCTCCTCACTGCCTGTAATTCATATTTGAGGAAGAGCAAGAAGCTCCTGCCCAGAGATCAGTGCCCAGTGCTGAAATGCAGAGGCTGTGGGATATTGAGGGGCCCACAGCAAAGGGACATCATGTCCATGTGAATGGCCAGTGGATGGATTAATGGATGAATTAATGGGTGAATTAATGGGTGAATTAATGGATGGATTAATGGGTGAATTAATGGATGAATTAATGGATGGATTAATGGGTGAATTAATGGATGAATTAATGGATGGATTAATGGGTGAATTAATGGATGAATGAATGGCCATAGAGAAAAAGGGAAATCCTCAGCAGAGATTAGAAAGCCTGGGATGGTTCCTGAGCTGGGTGTGTGTCTGTGTCTGTGAGGAATTCTCTGTCAGCCTTGTGTGGGACAGCACGAGCAGAACAAAGCTTTACAGGACACTTAATGCCCACTTTGTTCAGCTGCAGAATGGGGCTGGACCAGGGGACCTCACCGTGGCCATTTCCAACCTGACCCACCCTTCAATGCAGAGCATCCTGAAGGGTCCTTATATCTAAATATGGCACATAAATGTACATTATATGCACATATAAAGAGAAAACAGCAAATTTAATTTCCTCTCAGGAGGCATTTTCATTCTTCAGAATATCAACAAAATTTATTCGAGTTTTTTTTCACAGATAAAATTAGTTATTAGATCAAAGTTGCACCAAAGCAGTCATTTGAAAACAACRAAGAATCAGCTTCCCAAATGAGAAACCTCCCTCTGGTGTCATAACAAACACTCTCCTGTATTACTTTCGGAGAAGTGATGGCTGTTAAATCTTACATAATGTAACACGAGCCTTGCTGAAGTGCTGAGAAAGCCAATTCAGATGGTGCTAGAGTGCCAAGGAATGGAAGGGAAACACTCAGCAATTGAAATTACAAATTGCCTGATTGCAAAGAGGGTTTTCCCAAATCCTTGGAGCTGCTCCTTGGCTGCTCAAACACTCTCMCTCCAGCACTTTGCTCATTTGGGTRCCACTGTGCTCCCCAGAGAGGCATTTACTCGAGGAATAATAATGAAAGAATTCTCCCTTTTTTACACACTCACTTTGAAAGACTGAGGCTTTTTTTTTGCTTATATACCATATATTTTTATGAAATGCTTCATTCCCATTTCCCWTAGGTATAATTGGATTTTCCTCAGTAAGCAACAAAATAAAAGAGGAATTTAGAGCATCTTTTCAACATTCACTTGTTTAAAAGCAAGCAATATTCCAATACTTGAAATCAAGGGTGCATTTTGAAAAGTAAGGCAAGGCAGTAACTTCTACTTTAAAAAACCCTACAAGTTTTATGAAGCTATTTTACACAGCTCTGGAGTTTCAGGAGGGAAGGGAAAAACACTCAGTCAAACCAAGAATATATTTTTATAGCCGCAAATTTTCTAAAATGAGACCATAGATCTTGTGCTAATATGGGGAGCCTTCAGAAATACACACCCACATGCCAGCACAAACAACACGCAGCTCTAGAGAYGGATGCCATACAATATTTAAAAAGAAAAAATACATAATTCCCAGGGAGGCAGGGCTGGCTCTTTGCCCAGATGGATTCCTGTTCCAACAGCATTGGGAACATGACAGATGTGCTTCTTCCTAATTCTTTGTGTTTGTGGTTTATCTCTCTTGCCTGTGATACTTCAGGAGAAATCCCTCTCTTACCACTTGATGTTCACAGCAAGATGTGAGCCTGCTGAGGGGGCTGCATCCCATCCCATCCCATCCCATCCCATCCCATCCCA